GCGTGTGTGTTTGTGTGTGTGAGCGTGTTTGTGTGTGTGTGTGTGTTGTGTGTGTTGTGTGTGTGTATGCGTGTGTGCGTGTGTGTGTGAATGTGTGTGAATGTGTGTGTGTGTGTGTCTGTGTGTGTGTGTGTGTGTCTTTGTGTGTGTGTGAAGGGGGGGTCTCGTGAGGAGGGGCTGCGGGGGGAGGGCGGGGGACCACCAGCCTCCCTGCCCTTCCCGGACATCCAGCGCCCGGGTGTGCGTTTGAGGCCTCGGTGGGCCCTCAAGCCTCTCGACCTGCCGTCGGGCTACTTTTCTGTTTTGGATAGGTCTTTCATGGTACTTGCAGTTCGGCCGTCTCGAATTCTCTGAGCCGCCATCTGTGTGGGCAACGTGAACATGTGCTGGCTAAACTTTCGAGATGGACCCGGCCGCACCGACGGGGGAGGCCCAGGGAAGGCTCCAAGGACGCCCCTCACGCCTATCCGGAACCCCACAAGGATCATGTTCTTTTTCCAACACGGGCTTGAAGTCCCGACCCCGTTCCCCAGAGAACGGGGGATTCTGGGGTGGCGGTCTGGGGGGCGCGGAACAGAAGGGGAAGACGAGGGGGGGAGAGGCGAAGCAGGAGCGAGCGACGAGGAGGGGAGAGGCGAAGGAGGAGAGACGACGAGGGGTGCATCGAGGCAGAGAAAGGAGAGGGAGGAAGGGACAGGAAGAGGCGGAGGAAGAGTGACGGAGCTCCCCTCTCCCCTCCCCCCCTCGTGGACGGCAGTGATGCACATTCCTCCCGTGGCGCCCCTTGGGGTGGGCGGGGGGCGTGCACTGGACGCCAAGAGGTGGGGGATCTTTTGGTGCTGTTGTGGTTGCCCCCCCCCCTCTCCGAGGCCGCCGCGACGGCACAGGAGGAGGCGGAGGAGACGGGACGGAGCTCGCCTCCTCCCCTCCCCCCTCGTGGGCCGCAGAGATGCACCTTCCTCCTGTGGCGCCTCTTGGTGGTGGCATCGCCAAGACTGGGTAGTCGAAGGCCAGACTGTCAGATTGGATTGGGCCCCAAGGGCCAATCTGGCCCGGCCAAACTGGATGATTCGGGTCATTCGCCAGACTGGATTCGCGCTGGCTCCCTCGCCAGACTGCCCCCGTTTGCCAGATTGGGGCCTGCCAGATTGGCGCCAGATTGGCTTCGACTACCCAGCAAGAGGTTTTTTTTTTGTTTCTCCCCCCCCCCTCCGAGGCCGCCTCGAGGGAGCGGGAGGAGGCGGAGGAGACGGGACGGAGTTTCCCCCCCCCCTTCCCCCCTCGTGGACGGCAGCGATGCGCAGTCCTCCTGTGGCGTGAAGGTTTTTTTGTGTTCTGTTCCCCCCCCCCTTTTCCGAGGCCGCCTCTACTGGTTTCGAGGACGAGCCCCGCGACCGCCGCTTCCGATGTCCTGTGGCGCCCACCCCCCTGAGGCTTTCTGGCCCCTGCCTGTCTTTTGCGTTTTGTCTGTTCGTCGACGGCGGCTCGCTTGCGGTGGCCCTGACGGTATCTGTCTCAGACGGGTGGCTCCTGTGGAATAACCCTGGTACGATGCCTTTCATTGTTTGGGGATGATCCAGTGCTAATGATGCTCCAGTGCTGATGGGCGAGGCATTGTTTGGAATTGGTTGGTCATGTTTGGAACTGCTTGCCATCGAGTGGTCCTGCTTGGTATTGGTTGGTTGTGTCTGGCCTTGCCTGGATGTGTTTTGCATTGAATGGCCGTGCCCAGCTTTGCTTCGCATTGATTGCTCGTGCTTGGTATTGTTCGGCACAGCGGAATTGTGCGTGGCATTTAATGGTCGGCCTTAACATTGCTTGGCATTGCTGAGTCGTGTGCGGCATTGAGCAATCGTGTTCGTCATTGCGTGGCATTGGTTGGTCATGCTTGGCGTTGCCGGGTCGCGCATGGCATTGAATGGTCGTGCTTGGCATTGGTTGGTCATGTTTGGCGGTGTTTGGCAATGACTGGTCCTGCTCCTGCAATTGCCTGGCAGTGGTAGGTCATGCTCGGCACGTGTTGGTCGTGTTTGGCATATGTTGGTCGAGCTTGGCGATGTTTGGGATGTTGCAGTCATGCATGGCACTGCTTGCATTCGAGGTGATTGGCATTGGTCGGTCGCGTTTGGCATTGCTTTGCGATGGTTGGCCGTGCGCGGCGGTGCTTGGCAACGAGTGGCCCTGCTCTTGTCATTGCCTTGCATCGACAGCTGATGCTTGACATTGAACGGTCGTGCTTGGTATTGGTTGGTCTTTTTTTCGCATTGCTTGGATTTGTGCTGTCATGCTTGGCACTGTTTGGCGTTATATTGAAGTGTGTGGTCGTGTCCGGTCGTGCATGGCATTGGTAGGTACTCCTTGTTTCTGCTTGGCATTGCTTGGCAAAGAGTGGCCGAGCCATTCACTGGTCGTGCTTGGCATTGCTTTGCGATGGTTTGTCTTGTGCGGCGGTACTTATCAACGAGTGGTCCTGCTCTTGTCATTGCCTGGCATTGCTTGGCATTGGATGGCCGTGCTTGACATTGGTTGGTCGTGCTTGGCGTCGTTTGGATTTGTGTGGTCATGCTTGGCACTGTTTGGCGTTATTGTGGTGTGGTTGGTATTGGTCTGTCGTGCTTGGCATTGATTGGCATTGTCAGTTTCCGTTCTGCATTGCACGGCAATGAGCAGTCGTTTCTGGCATCGGTTGCTCGTTGTTGGCATTGAATGGGCGCGTTCTGCATTGATTGGTCGTCCTGGTTGTTGGTTGTCATTGATTGCTCGTGCTTGGTATTGAGTGGCATTGGCAGGTCGTGCTGGGCATTGCTGGGCCTTGGATGGTCGTGCCTGGCAATGGCTGTTCGTGCGTGGCATTGGACATTTCTTTCTGGGATTGGGTTGTTATTGTAGTTGCCGGGTGTGTGTTGCACAAGAAAAACGGATGGTCATTATTAAAAGGCCAGCGGACATGACTTGGCAGAAGTGAGTCAACAGCAAGCAGCGGGCACCATGAATTGGCAGTGGTCAGCGACCAGCGGCCAGCAGCGGGCAGCAACGAACCAGCAGTTAGCAGCACTAGTCCTTCAGCGCGCAGGCAATAAGGAATTTCGCGCTGCTCACTTATTGTTCACTGGTTCCCCGCTAGCTGCACACAGGTGCCACATGCACCTCGTGGCTGTTCACTGGTGCGTGCGGTTTATGGCACGCGATCAGCCAGCACGCAGTGGTCAAGCAGTGTGCCGCAGTGGGCATTCTTGAGTCGCCAGTGGGCATGGGCCAGCAGCAATCAGCCACCGTTGATGCGGCAGCCGCATTGAAATTGTGAGATATTCGACAACACGAATCAGCAGTGGGCAACACAGCAGCACCATGGAGCATCACTGAACGCTAACGATCGTCGTCGGGCATCACTGGCCATGTGCGAGCAATCGTTGCTTCAGTGAGCAGTACATGGTACCACCGCCCAGGCACTGACCTGTAGCGACCGAGAGGAGACCTTTTTGTGATCAGGCTTCGAGCAAGTAGTGAAGAAACAGTGAGCCGACAACGCGCAACCAGGATAACAATGAGCATGAGTGAGCAGTTGTGACCACCCGTGGGTAACGCTGACCCGCACTGCATGCTTAACACTGGCCAGCGGTGGGCGTGCAGCGAACAGCAGGGGCCAACATAAATAACCACGACTCATCAACAGAAACAAACAATGGAGTGGGCCCCAGCACAGAGCAGTTATTGCGCAGCACTGAGCAGCACTGAGCACCGGTGTCCACAAGCGAACAGCAGTCACTAACACTGAGCAGGGGGTGGAACTAATGCGCAGCCCTGAGCAGCCGTGGGCACTTCCGTGCACAAGTGAGCAACACTGAGCTTCATTGAGCAACGGCGAGTAAGCACTGCGCGGTGGCGATCGGCACTGAGCATCTGTAGCAGCAACAGCGCTCAGCGCTTGGTCGTGTGGCATGGGGCGTCGGCACGAGCCAAGAAGGGTTTTGCGTTCGAAGCTTGCCTGGCACGAGCCCCGCAGGGTACTGCGCGCAACGAATGTGAAAGCACACGCCCCGACAGGTTCTGAGTACAACGACGACGGCAACAACGACGATGACGATGATTCTAAGCTTGTCTGTCACGAGCCCCGTAGGGCTGGTCGTGTGACATGGGGCGTCGGCACGAGCCAAGAAGGGCTTTGCGTTCGAAGCTTGCCTGGCACGAGCCCCGCAGGGTTCTGCGCGCAACGAAGTTGAGAGCACACGCCCCGACAGGTTCTGATTACAACGACGGCGGCAACAACGACTATGACGATGTTTCTAAATCTGGGCCTGCGCACAAAGAAGCTGAGAGTGCAAACCCCGAGTGGTTCTGATCGCGACAACGAAGGCGACCAAGACCCACACGACCACGAGGACAACGACAATAATAGGCTGGCGCGCAGTCCCAGCCGACCCGCCGAGCGACGATCCTGCTCGTCAGCACCCCCCCATCCGAGAGTCCCAGTTTGAAGAAAACTGCGCACGGCGCTAAAGCGAGAGCCACATTCGGAAAAAAAACGGTCCCCCCAGACCGCCACCCCAGAGTTCCCCGCCCTCGTTTCCCAGGGCTGGTTCTTCATCTGGGTCGTTGCCTGACGGGCCAGAGGCCTTGCGAGAACCCCACCAGGCCGAAAAAGGCCCAGAGCCTCCCGTCGTGGCTTTGTCACGACGCGAGCACGTCTGGGCCAGAAACCCTCGTGTCAACGCGGGTTTTTTGCTCCCCCGCGCGGCAGGGAACGAGTGGCGAGAAATTCGACGGCGACGACGTCGCCGGCTGCGGTGGCGACGACGCTGGCGCTCGCGGCGACGACGACGACGACGACGACGACGACGACGACGACGTCGACGACGACGACGACGACGACGACGACGACGACGACGACGACGGCGGCGGCGGCGGCGACGGCAGCGGCGGCGGCGGCGGCGACGACTATCCGACGCGGCCGGGTGCGGGCGGGCCGGTTGTCCGTCCGCCGCGGCGGCGCTGCCGCCCAGGGCGACCAGTGCTTCGTGGCGGTGTCGTGGGCCCTGGCCGAGGGTATCAAGAAACACCCGGACCGTCTTCGGCACCGCCTCTTTCCAGACCTCTTCGCGTCGTGGGAAGACATGCGTTTCGACCTGCAACCCCAGATCTCCTCGCGCTGTGACGGAATCACGACGGGAGGCTTTCCAGTATTTTTCGGCCTCCGGGGGCCCTGCCCGGGCTTCGGGACCGTTAAAGCACGGCTCAGGATAAAAAAAACTTGTCCCGAGGAAGGGGTCCAGATCTCTGGGGGTCGACGTTGTGAACACATGACGACGTCGGGGGTCTGGGACAGGTGGGTCGCGGGGTTGGCGGGGGGGAGGGTCGTGGAGGGGACGGACGACGACAGTAGCAACACCAATCATTTTAATTGTTCGTTCTTTTCTGCTCGCGGGTCGTTCGACATGTCTATCCACGTGTAGTTGGCGCAGCTCCAAAAACAGGGGAAAGGCCCGGAAAAGGGAAGGAACATGACAGAACACGAGTGGCAGAACCAGACGGGCGGGTCGGGCGGGCCCAGACGACTGGGTCGAGCGAGCGGGTCGTTGAAGAGTCAGTTCTGCATGAATCGCGAGGAAGTCTTCAAAGATGGCGCGATTCCCAGGTAAATCGTGAGACAGTCCAGCGCGATACCGTGATTCCTCAGTGTTAGGGGTGCTTCGTTTCAAATAAACTGCGAGGAAGTACAACGCGAGAGAGCGATTTCTCGACAAAGTGTGAGGGTGGCCCGCGCGAAAGCGCGATTTTGAATGAATTGTGAAAAGTATCAGGCGGGAACCGTTGTTTGTGTTGTTGTTGCTGTTCTTGTGTTTGTTATTGTTGTAGTTGTTCGGGTTCGTTTTCCAACATCGCAGTGTGAGCCTCAACTTTTCCCGTGTAAAGACACAGGGTACGAGCCCCGGGAGGAACACTTCAATCAAAAAACCCAAATGGGCACCGAGGGGGGACCGCGAACAATTATTTTCAAACATACGTAAGTCCAATAACAACAATCATTTTAGTATTGTTCGCTCTTATCTGCTCGCGTGCCATTCAGCACGTCTATCCCAGACCCTCGATACCCTCTCTCTTTGTGTTCGATCGTACCCCCCTTGGGGGTATATCCTCCCCACCTGCCGCGTGGTCGTAGTTGGCCGAGCCCCTAAAACAGGAGAAGGATGGGAGGAGTGAAGAGACAAGAGGGAGGGAGAAGGATGGAGCACGAGAGAGATTTACAGGAGGAGGGTTAGAAGCAGGAGCACGAGCAGCAGAACCAGACGGGCGTGTCGGGCGGCCGAGACACAACGGGCGGGTCAGGCGGGCGGGCGCCAGGTCAAACGGGTGGGTCGCTAAAGCGTCAGCCCATCATGAAGGAAGTTTCGAGCGATAGCGCGATTCCCAAGCACATCGTTAGGAAATCCAAAGCAAGAGCGTGATCCGTGGCACGACGCCGCAATATAATTTGAGGGAAGGCCACGCGAGAGCGCGATTTCTGCATACATTCTGAGGAAGTCCCCAGCGAGAACGCAATTTCGAAACTGTGAGGAAGCATCAGGGGGGAGCCGGTGTTATTGTAAACCAGGGGGTCAGGGGCACAGCTTGGTGACCACATGCTTTCCTGTGTAGAAAAAAAGACCGGATGCGAGCCCCAGGAGGAGCACTTTAATTGAAGAGTGCAATGGTCACAGGGCGTGGGGGAGTAATTTTATTTTTTCGTAAAAATTGGAATGACATTTCAACAGCGACAGCAACAATAATATATCAAGGTGCAACGGTCATGTCAGGACCATTTGATTGAAGAGGCCGATTTGATTTTCATGTGTTTTTCCCTCTCCCCCCTCGCGCCCACCTTCTATCTCGATTTCTGAATAAATTGTGAGGAAGTCCCGCGCGAGAGCGCGATTTTTCAGCAACTCGTGAGCCGTTGTTGTTGTTGTTGTTGTTGCTGTTGCTGTTGCTGTTGCTGTTGCTGTTGCTGTTGCTGTTGCTGTTGCTGTTGCTGTTGCTGTTGTTGTTGTTGTTGTTGTAATTGTTGTTGTTGTTGTTGTTGTTGTTGTTGTTGTTGTTGTTGTTGTTGTTGTTGTTGTTGTTATTGTTGTTGTTGTTGTTGTTGTTGTTGTTGTAAGCCAGGGGCGCAGTTTGAGCCTCACGACTTCCCAGGATTAAAACACTGGGTGCGGGTTCAGGGGGAGGCCCTCCACTCGAGAAACCACGGTGGGCACCTGGGAGGGGTGATCAACAGTTGTTATTCATCAGGGGTGAAAATTCAACGGCTCGCCTACGACGCCTCCTCCGCCTCCTCCTCCTCCTCCTCCTCCTCCTCCTCCTCCGTGAGAATCACTCTTTCGCTTTAGGCTTCCCCGCGATTTACCTTGGGAACCGCGCTGTCGCTCCGGACTCCCCGGCGATTCCTGCAGGACTGACGCTCCAACGACCTGCCCGTTCCCCCTCCTCCTCCTTCTCGCCCTCCTCCTTCTCGTCGTCGTCCTCCTCCTCCTCCTCCTTGTCCTTCTCCTCCTCCTCCTCCTTCTTCTTGTCGTCCTCTTCGTTTTCCTTGCGCGGACATCCTCCTCCTCCTCCTCCTTCCCCTTTCTCCTCCTCCTCCTCCTCCGTCTGGGCCCGCCCGCCCGCCCCGCCATTCCAGGGTTCGCCGCCCCGACCCGCCAGTCTGGCTCTGACCTCCCTCCTGCTAATATCAGGAGGGAGAGGAACACACAGACACAATTAGCCCTCGATTCCCCAGAAAAGATGGAAAACTATGGGAAGTGGGGGGGGAAGACAAAAACCCAGAAAATCTAGGAAACTATAGGGAATCCGGTTATTTGTGCATATTCATTCGTGTGTCCCAGGGCCCCTTCATAATATCTTTGGTGCTCCATCCTTCTCTCTCCCCCCTTGCCCCTTCCCTCCTCCTTTCCCCGCTTTGGGGGCTGCGCCAAGTACACGCGGCAGGTGGTGAAGATATCCCCCCCCAATGGAGTACGATTCAGGCCAAAGGTGGCGGGCATCGAGGGTTTGGGATGTACATGTTGCATGACACGCGAGCAGATCATAACGAACTGTCTTAACATGGTAGATGTTGTAGTTGGTGGGCCAAGGACTTTCATTCGGCACTTAGCTCATGCTCGAGCGTGGATTTCGTCTTCTTTTTAAAAAGAAGTCAGACAACGCTCGGGCGAGAGTGCTCCGCAACTCATCCTTTGCGGCTGATACGATACGCCGCGGCTGAACAACCCGATTCCGCCGAGGCTCTGGGCAGGCATAATGGAGCAACCTTCGGATGGTGAGGAGCCGTTTGGGGGAGTTGACGGCATCTTTGATTTGCACTGGGCGCACAATTCAATACACGCCATGACACATCGGGTCATCAAGATGGTGTTCGTCCAAACCTATAAGGCCAGCCAAATACCAAACATCAGGCCGTTGTGTAACCACCGACTGGAACAACACCAGGGTAACCGCCTCCATACATCGAGTACCCTTTATCGGTCTCAACCTCTTTCGGCCTCACTATCTGTCAATCGATCGCACTACGATTATTTGTGTCGACATACCTCTCTCTCTCTATCTATCGATCTTACCATCGACCTTGCTTCTATATACCCATCGCACTGGCAATTCAGCCCACGATCCATTTTTCAATTTCACTATCAATATATCGGCCTCGTGGTCAAGCTATTTGATATCACAATCAGCCTCGCTATCGGTCCTTCTTCAGACCTCGCCATCTATCTATCGATCTCACTACCTATCTGTCGATCACATTGTTCTTCCATCGGGTCAATTCTCGGGACACCCATTGGGACTCCCGACCGTCGGGATAACCATCTGAAATCATCGGGACAACCATCGGGACAATCATTGGGACACCCATCGGGACACTCAGCGGGACAACAACTGGGACATTAATCGGAACTACAATTGGGACAACCACCAGGACCTCCATCGGGACAACCATCGGAACACCCATCGGAAAACCATCCGGACAAGTGTCGTGACAACCCTTGGGACAATCATCGGGACAACAATTGAGACACCCATGGGGGCAACTCTCGGAACAACAACCTTCGAACAGCACGCGGGTCAAGCATCGAGGCAACAGTCGAGACAACCGTCGGGACAACCATCGAACAGCTATCGGGACAGCCCTTGGGACAACCATCGGGAAACTGAACTCGCGCCTTTTCGCCTCGCCTCGCACCCGAACCCCACGCACGACATGAAGCGACGCCCAGAGCGAGTCCCCACTCGGGCGACTCCGTTGGGCTTCGGTCGCGCCCGCTCTCTTCCTATCTATCGTCTGTCTAATTGGCCATCTAACCTCGGGAGGTCATCACCCCCTCCCTTTCGGCAAAAGGATAAAGCTTCCTGCGCCGGGAAGCATTATCCCGGCACCCGCCGTCAGCAGGATGATGATGATGATGATGATGATGATGATGATGATGATGATGATGATGATGATGATGATGATGATGATGATGATGATGATGATGATACAGAATTTGGATGTTTGGCGCGGTGCTGAAGTCATCGTTCGGCTCACATCTCCCCCTGGAAATCATTTATATCGATGCGGTGCTACTGATCACCCTGTTTTTTTCAAAATGACTTCCTGTGGTTATTTGTCTACAGTCAACCCGCATAGCAATGACGATCGAATTTCCGAGGGTACACTTGCATCCTGGCCTTTTCGTTCATCTCCGATCCATCCTCAGCCACCTTCGATGGCCAGCTTCGCTCGAAGAGCCTCGGTATGGGCATCCAAGTCCCTTGCATCCTTATCGCGCACGCACCTCACGCACGATATGAATCGTCGCCGAGATCGATTCCCCAATTGACTTCGATCGCAACCGCTTTCTTCCTATCTATCGATCTGTCTGTCTGTCCAGTTATCTGTCTACGGTAGGTTCGTGTCGTGTCGACCGGCGGAACCTCGCCGCCGGCGTTCAACGTTGAACGCCGCCGGCAGCCCAGAATCGGTCGATGTTGAACGATTCGACGTTGCGGAAACGGCCGATCGGTAAAGGTTGAACGATCCCCGCGGTGTCAGGAGACAAAGCCAGGGTCGACGACGTTTCGATGGCCAGCCCCGCTCTTAATGCCTTGGTATGGGCGTCCAAGGCTCTTGCATCCTTATCGCGCTTCCTTATCATTTGTGTGGACTGTACTGATTTGTCTATCTATCCACTGATCCGGCGCCTCCCCCCACGCTGCCCCGCGGTCTATCTGTCCATCTGTTTGTCTGCCTATCGGTTTGTCTATCTCTCTGCCTGTTTATCCTTCTGTCGATCTGCCTGTCTGGCCACCTGTCTGTCTGCTGGTCCGTCGGTCCACCCGCCTGGCCGGCGCGCCTCCCGCCCCACAGGACTGGTACCCGGAGCTCTCGGCCTTCCCCAGCTTCCGGGAGGTGCAGGCCTCGCGCCCGCCTCCGCGCCGCCGCCGCCGCCTACGCACGTTGGCCCCCGCGGCGGGTGCCGCCTTCCTCCCATCAAGGCAGGGTCAGCGTCATCGGGGGCAGGCTCAAACGGAGGGGGAGGAGGGAGGAGGGAGAACAGGTCGATGAGGAGGATCATGGAGGAGGAGGAGGAGGAGGAGGAGGAGGATCCGTAGCCATTTTGGCTCAAGCCATTGTGGCTCAAGCCATTTTGGCTCAAGGCGGCTGCAGCGATCACTGGACCGCTACATTGTTTTTTCTCGGGCATACCGATCCCTGTACACCACAAAGAGAATCGGAGAGCCCGCCTGGCATCGCAGGCAAAGGGCAAAGCGAGGCTTCCCACGTCTTCTTCTCAGGCCCGCGCGAGCTCGACATTTGATTGACGGCCACCACGCCAGTCCCAGGTCGGCATCTGGAGGTATGGCCATCAGGTCGTCGACAGAATGGGTTTGCCAGTGTGGAAAGCATGTTCAGCCTTGGCACTGGTTCTGCTCCTGTGGCAATGGATATCAGACGCGTCGCAGGCAGAGGAGCCACTCGTCCCACATGCACATGGCAGCTCACGACAACGCCGCACCGCAGTAGATCAGCAAGGTGCCCATCGCAGCGATGTTGGCGGCGGAGACCCACCAAGAGTAGGGAAAGTGGAAGCTCCCGCCCGGCGGAGATCAGTGAGCTTCCTGGAAAAAAGACAAGTCAAGGAATGGCAGTTCACCCTCGCCGAGCTGGCGGTCGCACCCAAGGTAGCCAACAAGTCAGACACTTCCGAGCAGGAGGAAATCGCCATAATGGGGTACTGTACTGCATCTCGATGCTCAAGCCGCTCGGGGACCAGCTCGCGGACGCGATGTATCGCAAGAACAAACTGGAGCAGGCCCTGCGAGACACCATCAACAAACGGAAGGAGCTAGAGATGAAGGATATCGTGCTAGAAGAACTCATCCAGGATCCGCGCGCGACAGAGCAGGACCTGGAGCAGCAGCAGCAGCAGCAGGAGGAGGAGTGGCAGGAGAACTGTGGATTTTATCGTCATCTCCCCCCGCGCCCCATGGCGATGGAGACCACCGAGACCGGCTTCTCGGACGGTCCCCCTGCGCCACCGCCACCTCTTGCTCCGCCGAAGCATTCCCCCGCGCAAATAGCTGCTCGCGACCCGCATGGCGGCCGCAGGGGGTGGGGCCCCGCAGCCCACGGCACCGAGCAGAAGGGCAAGGGCTTCAACGCGCGCCTCACCTACGACGAGCAGGGTCAGACCACGATCGCCACCGCGCTCCAGGTCATGATGCCTCGGTAGGACACGATGGAGCAGAGCTACGCCAATTCCCAAAGCCGCAAGGCAGCAATTCTGATGGGCACGGGGGGTCTTCGCGCCAGCGGTGGGGTTTCCTGTCCAGGGCAAGGGCGCCGAGGACCAGGCACCTGGGCCGCCCCCGCAGCAGCCCGCCGCCAGCGATGCCATCTTCGCCGATTCAGGTTCCGAGTGCACCGCCATCTGCAGTCAGTCAGTCCAGTCCAGCGCCGACCAGGCCCCAGACGCCGAGGACGGCGCCACAAATTGCGGCAGCTCGTCCCAATGCAGCACATCCCACTCCTGGGCACCAAGAAGCGGCACCGGTACCCAAGGAGCCCGAGGCCCAGCTCACCCATGCACAGCATTCTGCGGTGCCTGGGACGCCCACACCGACGCAGATGCGGGGATCGCTGCTTGAGGACAGGTTTCTGCAGCCTCTTCCAGAATATATATATATATATATATATATATAAATAATTGCGAGCTACACAACCCATGGCGACTTCGGAGTTCGAAGACGTTGTCATTCCAGGCCCGAGTCAGACGGCCACGGTGGATCCCAGCCCGTGCAATCATGCGAGCGGGCTCACACAGCAGATGAAGGAGGACGCTCAGCAGAAGGTGGGATGGAAGAGTCTCCGCCTGCCTGACACTTCGAACGTTCTCCCCAGCGTAGACAAGGAGCCCCTGTTGGTTCGTCACATGCAACACGCCCAGTCTCTTCTCAGAGGTCAGCAGCTTTCGGCGGAGGAGTTGTTCATAATATTATTGCTCGCGATGTCAGGGGCCCTGTCTAAGGGATATCATGGTCTGACAGCGTCTTGTGCAGTTCGGAAGTCTCCTACTGCAGGACATCTAGCAGTAGGTAGCAAGCGGGGCATGCGCCGCGGGGCGCAGCGGGTCTCGTTCGCCGAGCGGGCGAGCTTTCCATTGCTACTCTAGACTCTCGGCTTCATCATCGCCAATTTGGTGTCTTTCCTGGTCCGCTGGTTGCGCCTCCATCTGCTCTCAGCACGCCAGCGCCGCGGGGGAGCCCGCGCGTGCCCGCCCGGGCCGGGAGAGCACAAGTGTCACAGGCTAATACTTGTTATGTTTACGGTAGCTCGTAGGGCAGGGGCCGATCTCGCAGATTTGACAACTCGATGCAGGGCCGCGGTAATGATTCGCACGCTGGGCGCTGCAGTCCAGGCCCTGAGGCCCAGGGGCCCGACCCGGAGGACACCGCAGGCTGGCGCTCTTTGCACGGCCCCATCCTGCTCGGCTTCGTCGGGGCCCCAGCCCATGAGCGATCAGGCCCCGCCGGCCCCCGCCCCCTCTCGCAGGCGGCTGCGGGCCCAGGGGGCGTCGCTGCAACGGGGCGTCCGGCATCTAGCCCTAGCCCTTCAGGAATGCAACCTCGCTCGCCGCTGTTTTCCCGCGCTTGCGCCGTTCGGGGGGGTTTCGCGACGGGCGCCTCCGCGAGTCTTGGAGGCCATCTCTGCGGGCGAGCTGGATGCCGCGCGCCCCCTCGGGCAGGGGGCCGAGCTCGGCCTCGAGACCTGCCCGTGGAGAGACGGCCAGTGGCGCCGCCCACGGCGTTTCACCGACGGCTCGCTGTTCCTCAAGGGGGGGGGGGCGTGGGCAGTGGTTGCGGTTGGCACGGATGAGGGAGGCGAGTCCTTCCTTCGAGCTCTCAGGGGTGACGTTGAGAGCGCCGCGAGCATGGGACTTGCGGCCGCGAGCAGCAACGGCGCGACTGCAGAGTGCATCGGCTCCACGCGCGCCCTGTTCTGGCTCGTGTGAAGCCTGCCGAGGTGCAGGGCCGCCATCTCGACGGACTCCACGCTGGCCTTTGGCGCTGCGGATGGCTCATCAGCTCTCTCGCCCTCTTCCTCGAAACTTTTTTTTTTGGTTTTGCTATGCTCGGCCCCGGGCCCGCGAAGACTCCCGCCGCGCCGGGGCCCGCAGGGGCCGCGCGCGGGGCGACCCGGCGGACGACGCAGCCATGGCGGCGGCTTTAAATCAACAAGTACTCAATCTGAATACTAGTCCCCCTCTTCCCCTGATGACGTGCTGGGAGCGCCCGCCTTGCCCCCCCCCCGCGTCCTGTTTTTTGAGGCGCAGGTTTCCCGGGGGATGGGTTTTCGCTTGAATTGTTGCCAAATGCTGTCTCGCTGAGGCGCCGGCCTCATTTCCGGCCCCGCTCGTTCCGAAACGCGCTCCCGCTGCAGCGCTGGCTTCATTTCCGCGCATCCGCTCGTTCCGAATCGTGCTCCCGCTGCAGCGCTGGCCTCATTTCCGCGCTTCCGCTCGTTTCGACTCGTGCTCCCGCTGCAGCGCTGGCGCCATTTCCCGTGCCATGCCACGGCGTGCAATGCAATGCTAGGTTGATGCTGCGTTTTGCGGTGCTCTTCTACGCCATGCCATGCCGTGCTCTACAATGCATCGCGTACCCTTTCGGGATCATTGCCCTGCTCGACATCCGATTGTGCGAGTAGAGAGGGGAACTGCGCCGCGGTAAGGGGTGGGAGGGAGGGGTAGGATGTCAGATATGACGTGAGCGCATCTAGCTTGGCCCCCCCCTCTGCCCCCCCAGATTGCCGCGTCGGTGCCTATTGGTGCCAGCGTTGCCAGCAGTGGGAGTGGCGATTGGCGCGTGGGCCCCGCGCCTTTGCCGATCCTTCCCTCCGCCTTTCCGAGGCCCCTGCGGGCCTGGAGGGGGGGGGGGGGGGGGGGGCGTCTTTCAGCGCGGGGGCGCGCGGCCGCGCCCTCCGAGGGGGGCAGGCCCGACGGCGGAGCTCAACATCCAAGTTCAATTGCGAGCTGCCCCGTTCAATCCCCGTAGCGCGCGCGAAGGGCGCCGTTGAGGCGCTCGCGCCAGTGCCTGGTTTCATCGACTTCACGCGGTCAGGGGAGAATTTCACGATCTAGGAGTTGCCCTGGCGGGCGCGCAAGAAAGTAAGAACGGGCAACGGTTGGAAGGGGCCTTGGCCAAGGTCCATCGTAGGTTTCCGCTTGGCCGCGACGGTTTCAACCTGGGGCCCGATCTGCGGGTCGATTTGCGCGCGCCCTGGGGAAATGTCAAAGGCGAGGGCGTTTTCTTTCAAGCGAAACACTCCGTTGTCTTGCACGCCCCCCCCCCCCCCTAGGGCCTTCGTGCTTGAGTGCGCGGCGCCGGGAGTCATGTGCGATATCTGCGTGGCTCGTGGTCCTCGCCGTCGGCTTCCCCTGGCGACTTGGGCGCGCTTTTGGTCCGAGTTTGGCGCCCTTGCCGACGGCGGCCCTGCGGGATTGCCCTGGTCGAGGGCAGCTGCGCCCCGGGATCTAGAACATTCCCCTTGGTGGGAAAGCGGGGTTTCAGAGAAGAGCAGGATGAGAGCGGCGAGCTCACGCGCACCTCTTTGCTCGATCGCGAGCTCGCCGCCGCCGGCGCATTCGCTGCCGCAGGCGATGGGGGCGCAATCGCCTCAACGGGCGCTGGGCCTCTCTCGCCTGGATTGCTGTTTCTGCGCGCATCCCTTCTCAGCTCATGTTTACAATGCTAAAGTCTGGCGCGGACTTGGTCAGGCAATGAGAGAGCGCGGGGGCCGTGCCCCCCTTCTAGCCCTCTTGGGGTGGCGCCAGGTTTCTTCGATCGCGAACTCTGGATCGCCTCCTCTGGGTTGTCGGAAGATGTCCGATCCCTAATTCGTTCGGGAATGCCGGCGTGCTTGCAGTGGCTTCTGTCGCGGCCCATGGAGCTCCAACGACAGTGCCCAACTCGCCCGCGCGGTCAATTTCACTAGCGATCAAGCCTCGAGGTGTTATGCCTAGGACAAGGTTAGGGCCCGCAGGCCCGATCTGTTTTCCTTGGTTCGGATTGGAAAATCACTCGTACGCCGTTGTACTCGGCGCGCGCCAAATGGTCTGACATGTGAACGGGTTGCCCGTTTTCAATTGTTCTGCGCATTCGCGCAGGGGACATGGCCGAACACGCCCGCGAAGTCCTGCGGCGAGCCGAGGGTTCGCCCCTATTGCAGGCGACGCTTGGCCCGCGAATGCAATTGTTAATTGCCGCCCAGGACTTCGCCTGGGATCGCGCCGTTCCCCCCTAGTTCACGCTCTCGCTCGCGCGCCTTCTCGCCGCCCCGCGTGAAGCCCAGACGCAGATGGTCGAGGAGGATGATTGTGACTTTCCCAACCGGCAAGGGGGGGCATTGGGATGGCAGTCGGTGGGTCCCTGCCGAGGCTGGGGCGGGGGCGCGCTCGCCCCCCCTTGGCAGTGGGTGTGGGGGGGGGGGGGGGGGGAGCCCAATAATGTCATGCAGGGATGCCGAGGGCAATGTCCTCGGGGCGGTCCAGGATGCTTTCGATGATTTACAGAGGCACTTCGGCGCCGCCGAAATGGCGCCCCCCTCGCAGCGCAGGTAGTGTTCGCTTGCTTCGAGCCTGGCAAGGCGCTTGACGCCAATGCCCCGTGGAAGTGACAGAACCGCATCTCTCTTCCCGAGCTTGTCAGGCTTATCCGCAGTCACCCTGCGGGGTCGGCGGCGGGCCCTGGCGGGCCCCCCACGCGAGCTTCTTAAGAAAGCCCCTGGTGCCTGTGCGCGCGCCCCCCGCCCTATCGCCTTCAAGGTTGGGATGGCTGGCAGGGGGCCAATGTTGTTTAAACGGGGGGGAATCGCGTACATTAGCGAAGGGGGGCCACGGGCTGTGTTTGCCTCCTGCCGTCGCAGGATCCTTCTTGGAAGTGCGATGTGCAAGCTTTGCCATCGGTTTGTTTGAGGGCGGCTCGACACTTCCATTGCCGCGGGCCTGCTGGCTTCGCAGTGGCATGGCAGTGGGGGGCGCGGATTTTTCCGCGCACTTTGTGGCGTCGAGATTGCGTGCGCAGTATGCCGACAAGAGATCAGCTTTTGCTTTGAACATTGGTCTCAAAACAGCTTTTTACATGGTGATGCGACGTGTTGCTGTGTGCGTCCCGCCGGAGGAGGCCAAGGTCATGGCCGGCCTCCCCGTGCACCCTGTCCTGGAGTTCGCCGCGCGTAATCTGGCCTCCTCTCCAATGGGGGGCGCCCAAGTTACCGACTAGATTTTGTTGCGCTTTGTTCGCCGAAGACCAGGCGTTGGTCTTTTTGTTTGGGGGCGGGGGCCGCGCAGCCCGTGGGCTCACGCCGCGGGGCCGCCCCTGCCGCCGACGCGTTGAACTCCGGTTTTGCTCCCATCCGCCGGACTTTGCAATGGGAAACCATGGGGCGGGGCTTTATGTGGCAACCTCCCGATGACATTCCTTTCTGCTTCGCTCGACCCCGCGGCCGCGATAATCCGCGGGGCGTGGGGGCCTTCGTGGATGATCTCCCGATTATCGGTTCTTCGCCTACTCCCGCGCTCCTGCAGGAGTACGCACCCGGAGCGCGAGGTATTTGAGGCGGGCCTGCGCATGAACGTTGGCAGGACATTCTTCCTTCTCCGCCCGCGCGGCGTTCCAGCCATGGGATGGTGGGCCCAAGGGGCCTCGGCGCCGCTTCCATCGGGGGAATGCGTAGGGGTCGAGCGTGCTACTGGGTGCCCCCGGGCGCTCATCAATGACGAGGGGTCTCTCATCCCGAGGTGGCCAACGGAGCGGCCCGCGCCAGGGCTGAAACTCGCCCTGTGCAGCGAGCGCCAGGAAGCCGAGCAGCGATTCTTAGACTCTTTTCAGCGGGGTCTATGCTTTATCGTCGGGGTATTTCAATGTTGCTGTTTGGTATCGGCTGTCATGTCGGGTCGTCAATCAATGCGTCGCGCTCAGGTTTCGTTTTCGAGGGGAGCTCTGGGGGCGTCTTCAGGTAATCGCAGTGAAGTTCACGACTCCCCTTCCGAGGTCCTGCTTCCGGGCAATCGCCTCGACGTCGCCCCGGACTTGCAGGCTGCCAGGTTAGAGTGTCCCCCGAGGCTTCTGGCGCGAGTCCCGTCGGGTCTCTTCGCTGTCCATGACATGTCCCTTGCCATGGACGAGGGGTGGCGTTCCTTGCTTGGGGCCGATGCGCAGCGGATGAGCCGGCGCAGTAGGAAGAATGATATCCCTGGACAAGGGGCGCTGCAGTGTTGGACCCAAACGCGTAGGGGCCGTATTCGGCCCTTCACAGCCCACCGCAGAAACATTGCCGCTCGTGCTCTCTCTCTCTCTCTCTCCCTCTCTCTCTCTCTCTCTCTCTCTCTCTCTCTCTCTCTCTCTCTCTCTCTCTCTTCTGGCAGCGCCAAGACGCTGAAGAGAGGCTGCGCCAAAAACTTTGCGACGCCTTGCTTGTGCTTGTGGGGGCTCTTTGGGAAGTAGAAGCCAGTCGGGGCGAGGCCGAAGGAGGTCTTTCCTCATTGTGGTTGCTATGAGTGCGGCTGTCACATGGATCATTAGCGTGCCATGACCATGCGCGGGAATAGGGAGCACAAAACAGATGATTGCATAGGTGCCTGGACCAACTGGACCACCTGTCAATGGCGCCCCAAAGATTTCTCGCAACCGAATCGTCTGGCGCCTCATCTTCATGGGCCCCCTCGGCGCAAGCGCAGATGGCTTCAGATCGGGAGGGGGGCCACCAAGGAGGAAGTCGTGGAGCGGAGACAAACCGTGGTTCGGTGCCAGAGATGAAAGTACATGGCCCGATGCCCGACATGCCGTCTAGGCAATGCGCTCAAGCGGCCGCTAAATGCCCTGCCGTGCTGATGGAACCTGCCTCCAGCCAGCCAGTGCGTTGAGCTTCGGCCATCCCTGAGGCCCCGCTCAGCGCTGCCCATTGTGTATTTGTTCTTGGACAGAGCCCAGCGGTTAGCATCATCGCGCTGCTTGCGCCGCTCACAGGCTATGCTGTTTTCAGCGTCCCCTTTGACAATTTGGCCGCCCTCGCGGTTCCGATGATCGTGGCTGGAGTTTTTGACATCCTCTGGGCGGCTGGGGGGGCCCTCGTGGGCCGACCTTGCCGTTCTGGGGCCCCTGAGCCCCAGGGGCGTCGCGGGGCCCCTCCGCGCTGCCTCGGGTCCCTGGGGGCGCAGAGGAGTGTCCTCATCCGATGCCAGGGTCGTTCGTGAAGGGAACCAGCTTCAGAAGGCGGCAGGGGTTCTCCATGCTGCCGCGGCGCTGCGAGGTACCGCATTTGCCTTCGAGCTCCCAGCGCCGTCTCTCGTGCCCTCCCTCGGCCTAGGAGTGTTCCAGAGCCTCGCCCGCCCAGACGCGAAGTTCGGCTCCTCGGCCAACGGCGCTAGGGCCATGCTTCGCGCTGATGAACAGGGGAGGGTTGCAGCTGTGGGAGGGAAACAAGGGATCTTATCTTGGCCCCCCTCTTCCTCCCGTCCACTCATCTAAACCAGGCGCCCTTGACCCGTATATTTGCAGCCCTCTTGTCATGAGTCATTTTGAGCCCCTCCTCTCTCCCCCCTCGTTCCTTGTACCATGTTGCTTAGATCGGCAGCCGTGTCACATGCCGTTCTAGAACCCGATTCCGATTCCGATTCCGAGGAGGAGGAGGAGGAGTTGTGGAGTTTTGATATGGCGATTAGGTCGGTTGAGTGGAAGGGGAGGAAGAGGAGGTGGAGGAGGAGGGGGAAGAGGAGGAGGAAGAGGGGGGGGCGGACAGGCCAGAGGCCTTTTGGGTGCCTCTCGGAGTCTTTTTTCTTATATCTTTCGACAGCTTCTTGGGTTCCCCTCAGGGGCGTCCTGGGAGTCTCTTGGCAGCCCCGGCGGGCTTCGACTTGTTTGGACATCTCGATTCGGTCCTCGGCGATGCTCCAGCCTCGGGACAAGATTCGGCAGCTCTCAGTCGGGCGTGTCCCTCTACAGGAGGAGTATCCAAAAATAGTCAAACATAGTATGGGGACTATTTGTTGAGTATCTTTTTTTTGCCATTTTTGAATACTTTTGAATATTTTTTATTTTTCGTCGAAAGTCCCCCTGTAGGGGGGGGACAGGCCCGACTTAACGGCAGCTGCGCCCCGGGGCAATACTCATATCCATCGCCAGGGCGTCTTGGACTTTCGTGGAAGGGGCGCCGCAAGGCCGAGGCGCAGTGGATATGGACAAAATTCGAGCCCCTAGTAGAGGCCTTATTTCTATCCATATCCAGTGCTCTTCGGTTTTCGGGGGAAGGGAGCCCCAAACCCCAAGCTGCAGTGGATATGGACACAAGTTTTGCCCGCATCCGGGGGGAATGCAGCGACCGCCGATCGACCAGTCATCGCCGATAGGGGCCCGGCAGCCCACCCCTCCCAGGAGCGCTCGGATTCGCTACCGTCCTCCTCCTCCTCCTCATGCTCCTCCTCCTCCTCCTCCTCCTCCTCCTCCTTGTCCTTAGGAGTGATGTCTCCCTGTCGCACGCCGACGCCACTTTTGGGGGCGTGCTTGGCGTTTCGCCCGAGGTTTCCTTACCACTTATGACCCCGAGGGTAAAACTGCGACGACAGCTTTACACATGGAGGGTGGGTCGTTTTAAACATGCGGCTCTCGCCCCAGAGTCGCGCGCACTCGCTCGAGACATTGCAAGTGTTTCACGGATGAAGGGCGAGTGGTTTTCAACATGTGGCTCTCGCGTGAGCGCCGCGCACATTCGTTTACAAAACAATTGCAGGAGCTTCACGATCTGAGGGCGGTTCCTTTTCGACGTGTGGCGCTCGCCCGGGCGCCGCGCACGTTCGTTTTTTGCACATCTGCAAGAGCTCCGCGGATTCCCATGAGCAGCGTGCCAGAAATTCAGTCTGGGAGGATTCAGGAATATATAATCCTGAATCCTCCCAAACTGAATTTCCTGAATCCTGGATTATGTAATCCTGAATCCTCCTCAACGTAAACGTTGCGTCCTCATAATATTATGAGGACGCAACAGTTACGCTGATTCGCAGAGTCGAAGTCCCGACAATGGCGTTTTGACACGGTTTTTGGATCGTCCTCCTCCTCTTCCTCCTCCTCCTCCTCCTCCTCCTTGATCCGTGGCGTTGGAATCCCGAGAAACATGTGTTGGTAGCCTTCATGGTCTGCAAACGCTTGTTTCCCCCAGTGGAAGTGAGCCGCTGTGGGGGCCTATCAAGAGGGAGCCTGGAGGGAGGGCTGCTTCCAACATCGTGGATCACTCCTGGGCTCACACTGGTCCTCCTCCTACACCCTAGGCGATGCTTAAGAAGACGTAAGGTTTCGGCCAGAGTCTTGATTTCTCTTATTGTTCCAATGTAAATCCTAAAATTGTAATTGAAAATTTGCGTTTTTATTCAAATTCTGAGACTATGAATTTCTTAACCCATGATTTCTTGAGCATTTCGCAGGGTGTACTCCTGCGATGCATCGTCGATTCCAGCTGATGTTCCCTTCTCCGAGTCCGTCCCCGCGGTCGCTGCCCCTCCAAAGGGGGTGCCCGGCTCCGAGGGGGCGGTGCTCTCGGAATTTTGGGCGGTGGGTCGCGCCAGTGGCGCACTCCCACGAGAGGGCCGTGGAGGACGGCGTTCGTACCCCGGGCTTCCACTGCCCGTGTCTCGAGGCTTGGTGCGAGGCCGAGGTGCCAAGGCGTGCCTGTGGAGAAAAAAAACACACATACACACATACACACATACACACATACACACATACACATACACACATACACACACATACACACATACACACATACACACATACACACATACACACATACACACATACACACATACACACATACACACATACACACATACACACATACACACATACACACATACACACATACACACATACACATACACACACACTGTGGGGAAACAACACACACTGTGTGTGTTTTTCCCCACAGTCTGTGTTTTTTTTGGTGTGTGTGTTTTTCCCTACTGATTTGGGCATTTATTGTCCCAGCGCGCGCCGCGCCATGTGCACTTGGGCGCTGCGCGGATCTCCCTGCAGATTCTCAGCTGGTCGGGCATGCGGGGGTCGGCCTTCTGGTGAAGAGCACCGAACTCAGGGAGGATTGGGGCTCTAGAGCGGGATCGAAGTCCTCATGTGCCCCGACCTTTTTTCTATTAGAGACACGCTGGCGTCGACACTTCATGCCCGCAGGTGGCAATTGCTCGCATTGGGTACCCCACGTAAAACAGCCTTGCTGAGTATATCTTCAGGGACGCAGGCCAGGCGGGACAGAGAATGCCCCGCAGGACATCCTTCCCAGGACCCGTTTCCCTCACCGCGTCTTTCCTCCACCCCCAGCTAGCAGGTCGCAGTCTCCAGGGGGTTGGTTACAGTGTCGGCCATGGCATTTTTGGTCGGAACCTGGCCTCATTCCACGTAGTTCACTGTCATCCAGCTCAATCTGGTTCAGTTCTTGCTTCGAGTCGGGCTGAATCTGGCGCAACAAGCTTTCAGTCGGGCGTGTCCCTCTACAGGAGGAGAATTCAAAACTTGGGAAAAATAGTCCAGGGATTCTTTCCGTACCCTGTTTTCCATGACTGTTGCTCACTAGTTTCGAACAGGTGTCTTCCACCATCCGCCTGCAGCAGGACATGCCCGACCTACAGCCGGGGCCCTGAAGAAGGAACCCTTCTCGTTGGGGAGGGGCTCCGCGTTCCTCAGTGTGTCACAGCTTACCCCAGGTGCTCCTCATGTTTTCGATGGGACGTCGAAGTTCAACCCATGGAAAAAAAAGGGGCCTCGCTCCTCATTTTGGGCTCCTTGGGTCAAGCCCCCCCGACTGTCTGGCTCCCGACTGTACTGCATGGCGGGGAACTGCCATTGGGTCAGCGCGTCGACGTGGAGGAGGAGGAGGAGGAGGGAGGAGGAGGAGGAGGAGGAGGAGGAGGAGGAGGGCACCTGCGGCAGAGGAGCACCTCTCCGCACCTGCCCCCATCGCCGCTGGCAGTGGCGCCCCGCGGCCCCGGCGACGCGCGAGCCCGGCGCGACGCGCGAGAGCCCGGCGGCGGCGCGCGAGAGCTCCGCGCGGCCTCCCATGCGGGCCCGAGAGCGGGCCCCCCCCCCCGGGAGGTGGGCGGGGGCCCTATCGGCCTGCCCCGAGCCCTCCCCCGGCGCCTCGGGAGGAGCAGGAGCAAGAGGAGGAGGAGGAGGAGGAGGAGGAGGAGGAGGAGGAGGAGGGAGGGGGAGGGGGAGGGGGGGAGGAGCAGGAGGGAGGAGGAGGAGGAGGAGGAGGAGGAGGAGGAGGAGGAGGAAGAGGGGCCCGAGGTGGGGACACACACACAGACACGAGGAATCGTCGACCCCCGGGGAGGTGTGCAGCAGCATGGGGTAGCGGTGGGGAGGACGACGGCCCCAAACATCTACATAGGAAAATAGGGGGGGCGTCTTTGGATTCGTGTGCGTCTGTCTGTGTGTCCTGGGGCCCCTTCAGCATCTGCTTGCGGACCCTAACCCCTGCCTGGGGAGGCGGCTCACTGGGGGTGAAACACTGTATCTCGCAGAAGAGAAACGGCATAAACAAAACATCTCTCGAGGGCCCGCGCGGATCTCTTGGATCTGCGCTGGGGCCCCCTGGCGGCGTCTCCTGCGCCGCCCCCCGGCGCGCTCCGCGCGCCAGGGGAGGGGGTCCAGCGCAGATCCAAGAAATCTGCGCGGGCCGTCGAAAGTTGATGTTTATGCCGATTTCTCGTCCTCTGATGTCCGTGGTCGAAGACCGGCCGAACCCGGCCTAATCCCGCTCCATCCTGCTCAATCCGGTTCAATCTTGGCTTCAATCGGACCTAAGCATATCCGGATCATTAGCTCCGTAATCCGGCTGGACAGCTTTTGACCTCCCAGGAGTTTCTTGACCCCTGGGGATCCAAGCGACGCCAGGGTCTCGGACACTCGTGTGGGGACTCACCTGGCTGCAACTGTCCTTCGATTCCTGAGCTTCCGCCGGTGCTTCTAGAATCTGGCCTGCGGGGGGATGGTTCACATGTGGTTTCCCAGCCTCCTTTTGGACCCTCCACGGCGTCCTGCACTCGGCGGGCGGGATCATGTAGCCCGCGGGCCCAAGGTGTGAGAAGGGTGATCTCATGTCTGGGGGGAAGGTCCACCCGCCAATTTCTGTTGGGTGAGGGTCTACGGGGGCCAGGCTGGGACCCCACCTTTTGGGATCCTATCCTTCCTTCTGGGGTGGCCCCCTTGGCCCTCTTCTCGCCGCGGGCGGAAGCAACGCTACGTATCTTCCAGGCGCCGGGCAGGCGAACAGCGGATCGATCGCGACCTCCTCTGCAGGTTGTCCGAGCTGCGCGCAGCCGCTGCCGTTTTCGACCAGCGCGCGTGTGGATCGCTCTTGGCCGGACACGCCTATACCCAC